GTGCGGTTGGCGCAGGATAGAGCAGGGTTTAGAGTTGTTGTGCATAGGGTCGCTATGAGTCGGAAATGACTCGATGGCACATAACAACAATAAAGTCCAGTTACTTGTATTATTACATTTAACTGTAATATTAAATAGCAAGTGAATAAAAAAGATTTGAAGTGTGTGGAATGAACTGTCTCCTCTGTAAGCTCATGTTGGGATATTAACAGAGGAGTGCCCAACATAAACGTATTCAAACACATGCCCACAGATGTGACACCCCACTGCTTGATACGCTTTCGTTTCTTTGTGACCAGGGCTGCTATTTGCCTTTCCTCAAAATGATAGAAATTGCTATGTACTGGCCTGTGAGCCAGTTAGCGGGGTTTAGACTTCTGATGCACGCTGTCCATTTTGACTCTGCACACCCAGGCACACGGCTTTCAGAGAACACTGGACCAGGTTGCTGATGGCAGAGCCAAGGCCTTACGCACAAAGCTGTGATCTAAAATTGGCCCAGTGGCAGGCTCATGTCACGCCTGAGGCCACAGAATTGGTGGGTCTCCTCTAAGTTAAGAAAACTGTGTCACACTGTGTGCTTGCGACTTCTCTCTCCTGATGCTTAGCAACAGCCGATGGGGGAGGAAAAACCTCGGAAGAAAAGTCATTTCAGAGGCCGAAGGAGCATGGTTGGTGTTCACACAGCCCCCGGACATGTGCGCACACACGTGGGTCATGGGAGACCTTCTTATGGAAATCAGCCCTAAAACTGCGACCAAAATTGTAATTAAATGACAAAATCAGAACAAGTATGTGTAAACCAGTTAGCAACCACGTAACGACATTAAATAAACCCACAGAGTTATTAATTACCTTACCTGGGTGTATATACTTTACTTTAAACACAAAGCTCATCTATCTACTCTCCTCGACCTCACTAGAGGACTGGCTTCCCCAGAGGCTAGGTAGCATCTGAATTAAAATTTCTTACTCAACACTGTTTCTATTTTAAAAAAAAATACATAGCTAAATAATATGCATATTATAGAAGATAATGGTTTTTAACGATGATGCTGGGATGTGGACAGGTTAATGCTAGGAAGCATCTTCAAGTCAGTGGTGTCCTTCAGAAAGGGCCGCTTGGTAAGCCTTCTAAAGTTGCAGATGATGATGGTTTTTCACTCTCCACAATTCACTTGCTTGCAGCCTAAAGTGATTACATATAGAAAACAAGCTTGAGTGGTGCTGTGTGACACAGAACAGGCTATTCAATTGAAAGGTCTGCAGTTCAAATGGACCAGGTGTCCCATGCAGATGGTTGAGTGTTCTCCTGTGAAGACTTATTGCTAAGTGCCGTTGTGCTGTAGATGACTCATAACGACCCTATGAACGAAAGACCTGAACATTTGCGTAATTTTCATTGTTTCTCCACATTCATAGTTTCAGGAGGCAAGCCACTTTGCAAGTGGAAATAGCTTCTTGCTTCCAAGCCTGTTTTAATTGGGAAGCTCCACCAAACACCGTCCACCATGGGTAACCATTCTCACATTTGTCACATCGGTGTCACAGTGTTTAGCATCACAGCAACCACAAGTTAACATCTGTACAGCAATACACAGACCTTGGAAACCTGATGGTGGGTCACAAGGAGTCAGACCCAAATCAACCACCACAGACAACGTACTAGCCATGTGTTCTGTTTGTAGGACTGTTATACAGATGACCTGTCACGGATGGACCTGTGTCTCCTGAAAGTTATGTGTCTTCTTGGTGGGACCGTGCATCTCGGCAATAGGTAATGATCCTATGGGTGTGGGGGTCTTAACCCCTGTGAATGAGGAGGGCTTAGGGGCAGCTCTTCAATGATGTAATCATCCCCCATGTTGTGATCAGCCTTAGGGTGGGGTACAGCACCCTTCATGAGGCCCCAGCCCTGATTAGATGGAAGGCCTGTATCACCTTTTATCTGACAAGACACAAAAGGAGGAGAGAGAAGGGGAATCTTGGGACTTGTAAGAAAGAACAGGCAGGAGTGTAGGTCACCCTCTAGATCCAGGTTCCTGGGCTGAGGAACTCTTGGGATCAATGGATAAAGAGAAAGCTTCTCCCTCGAGCCAGCACCCCGAATTCAGACTTCCAGCCTTCTAAATGATAGACAATAAACTTCTTTTTGGTAAAGCTATCGATTTCTCATCTAGTGCTGTTACAGTGGCTCTGCATTACTAAGACATTGCCATTCCTGACATGAAACTGGAAAAAATGATCTGGAAGCATCTAATGTTTGCAATCCAGCTACTGTAACAGCAGCCACAGCTGAAGCAGAGGACCAGAGAGACCTGACATGAGACAGAGCTGACAGCTACTCACCCCACCACGAGCAGAACCAGAGCCAAGCTAAGAGCCTGTGCCAAAGTTTGTTGGACAGTTTGGGGTGGAGGGAGAGCCAATCGTGGCAGGATTGAGAATTTTGCAGCACTGATGTAGAGGCATGAAGCTCAAGGCTGAGGTGCTTGTGTGTACACACTGGAAGTTGTCCTGACTGTATTCTGCTACTAATTTGGACTATAACCTTTTGACTTCTCCAATATGGTTCTGTATTCTGTCAGCTATCCCATCAGATGTGGAACCCAGCAAAACAGTAAGAGGGTGCTGAGATGAGCAGAAGGAGGTATGGGAGCCTGGGGGTTACAAACACGAAAGTGTGACCTCTTGGGAATTGGTTTTGTGTTATTGATGCTGTTGATGGGGACAGTTCCACTTTGTGAAGTTAGTAAAGGTCAGATGTGGCCATCTCCAAGAGGCCCTTGCTCTATTTTAAAAAAAATGCAATTATTAAGCAATTGTCTAGTTCCACCAAGGTGGCTCTGGTGGTCTAGTGGCAAGTTGCTGTGCTGCAATCCTGAAGGCACATGGTTCAAAGCGACTAGCTGCTCTCGTAGAAGGATAGGCAATCTCCTACCTCCTGTGCAATTAACTGCCTCTGATGGTCAATGATGGTTCGGCTCTGCCTCTCTGGTCCATAACAACAACAGTCCAGCTAACACCTCGTACTAAATGATTAACTTTTCATCCTAGAGATTGATTAGTATTCTGCCAGTGAACACAATGGAACACGGAATGGGACGGGAAGTGTGTGCAGTCTTATAATCCTTATATATCTAAGGGGCATGCCAGCAGACTGACGACACCCACCTGGACATAACCCAAGAAACAAGGAGTAACTTGCTCCCATGCACCATTCTGTGCATTATTAAACCTTACTAACTTTGACGCTGGTCAAAGCAGGAGTGGCATCCACTTCCGTAAACAGCTGGCCTCTGGAAACCCTATGAACCTAGAGAAAGGATGAAAGTCACGCAAGGGTCAAGGACTTCCATTCACAGGGTCACTATGAGTCGCCTATGACTCAATGGCACTTAACAACAAGGTCATCAACTCTGGTCAAAGTTGCCCCGTTACAGAGTGCCAAGCCTGAGGACATAAGCGCCCCAACGTCAATAACCACAGCTGACCCTTTGTGAGAAACTGTTAGTGCTTTTTAATCAAGTTGTGGTAAGAAGAGCTCAAATCACAGCAAAACAGAACTCGGTATCAAGTGCATCGAGGCAGCGTACAGCTGCTGCATTATCCAGAGCAGTGTCCTGTTAGGGAAAATTACAGTCTAGAAACAGCACATCATCATTCCCCGTGAGGAAACGGTTACGTTAACTGTAAAATCATCACTGGAAGGATCTGGAAACAGTCAAGCATAACAAACCTGCCGAGAGAGAATGGTCTCCAATTCGGAGGCATGTTCACCTGTCTACCCACTCCATCAAAACTAAGCTTAGCAAACGTGCAAAAAGAAAATACAACTACTTGAAATTATTACTATCATTTCCGTGTGCCCTTAGGTGAGGGACACCTGGCAGCTACATGCCGAGCTGTGCTAACAAAACTGAACCTTTCACTTTCTTTAATAGTAAAATTACCATTACAGAATCATTGTCATGTAAAAAGTGCATTCAAGTACATTACCACTATTTTAAATAAACATCAATTGTGAAACAATCAACTTTGAAAAGCTGCATAGGTTAAAAAAAAATTCCCTGATTGCATTTCTATTTCTTCACCTTGGTAGTCTGCAACATTGTACTTTTAGAGACTAACTACCACTTAATTTCTTTAAAAAACAAACAAAATAACACACACACACACACACACACACACACACACACACACCTCTGTGGGATGTGTAGCCCAGCAGTGAAGCAAGAAAACTGTAGACCTGTCACTTGTCTTCACTGTATGTAGAACTGTGATTAAAAAAATGGTACTTCTGTCACATTTGTACATGAAGAAACATAATGCGTTCAGAGGACGGAGCATGTGGCTTTCCAAGACAATACTGCACCGGCCACAAGGTGTGGACTTGGACAATCTCCCCAGTTTTGTAAAGCTCCCAGTGTACTCCCACTACAGTCCCTGAGAGTCTGTAGACAGGGTCAACAGCATGTATTTTTTTTTCATCCCACAGATAACAGGGTGTAACTCACACTGAACTTGGGAACACTAATTTGAGGCCAGCTCCTGGGCTTAAAGCTTATGTCAGCATCTCCAAGAAAGTAAACCTACACACCAGCCATGATGCTACTGCACTATCTCCATCAAAAGGGGACCTGAGACCCCAGCCAGAAGCTTCTCTGGGGGCCTTCACATCACATTTATTTAGTCCTGCTTCTGCCATCACCCACAGTGGAAAAAAAAAAAAAGATAAAAAAACAGAGTCCAGCATGACATGTGATGAGTGGTACCCACATTATCACCTAAAAAAAAAGATTGCAAAATCCGGAATTTTTTTCAAAAATAAAAACCCTTTTACAGAAGCCACACTTAATACAGTATCTAGGAAAAATCTTATCTCTTATAGGATAAAAGAAGCACAAAGACTACTTAGAGTGGATATCTTGCTAGACGGCTTACTTATGTTTATCCTTGAACTACTTACAAAGTAACAATTCAAATGAACTTTTATTCTGAATAGTTACAATAGAAGATTGACAGCCCTTGCTTGCCAAGACACCCAGGCGAGTCCTGTGCTGACTTTCTGGGCTGCCCAGTGGCCCCAGGTCCGGGCTCAGCAGCTGGAGCTGTCTATCTCTCCGGTTTTTTCAACGTCGTCGTCGTTGTTGTTGTCTTCTTTGCGTTCTGGTTCAATTTCGCCTTCATCCTCCTTGAGGTGAGTTGGATCTTTTTCAGCCACCTGATCTTTGGTTTGGGGTTCATGTGTGGAAATGGGATCTAAAACTACCACAGGTCCGGTTTGGTTTTCACCATCCACGTCTGTACCCCTGCATGCAGCATCACTGGGAGGCCTGTGGAAGAAACAGTTAAATAGAAAAGCAGAGAGCAAAATCGTTGTCTTTCATATACTTGAACGCAAACAACCATAAAACCAGAAATGTTCTACAATCTAAACCCACATGCACAGTGCTGTCCGTGAGATGCCAGCCATGGGGGTGTGGGGGGGGGGGAATGAAGCTATCAGATTACATGTTAGGAGCAAGAGGACAGAAGAAAGAAGGCGAAAAAAGAGCGATTAACTACGGAAGTGTTAAAAAGCAAAATGCACCTACCTCCTTAATTACACGCTTTTCTCAGGAAGTGCAAAGCTCAGGATACAGCAGGCATTCCTCTGCTGAGCACCCAGGCTCCCACCACGCCCTCACTTAGTGGGAAGGAGCCAGTTAACCCCCTTTTCAGTGGCCTGGTACATCTGGCTGCAGATTAGCTCTGAGGAGACTGCTCCATGAGGGGAAGTGACTCGCCCTGTTCCCTGAGGGACAGCTGCAGGGTAGGCGTTTGGGGTGGGAGGGAGGGTGCAGCTGCTGCGTGCACTGACTGGGAGAGACGTGGCCAGGGCTAGAAGGGCAGGGCAGATGGAAGAATCCAGAAAAGCAGCTAAAATGCTAAGTCATCACACACTTTCTGAAAAAGGACAATCAGATTTTTGAGAGGTTGTGTATTTCAATGTAAGCTTCGTTACGTAAATAAGGGAGTGATTCTGTCAGAGAGACAAGGATGTTCCCAAACACTCTTCTATTACCACGTGTCATACCTGTGCTCTCAGAAGTCAAGGTCAGAGCCCACCATCTAAAGGGCTGCTGACCCAACTCCTGAAGGCTGAGACAGCGAGAGAGGGCAGGACAGTGACTAGTCAGATTTATCTGGTCTTCTTGGTCACCACTTGGATTTTCTCTTTACCGCAGACAGCTGGACCTTAGACATTTCCAAGTAAACCACTGGAAGTCAGAATGTGCACTAGGCACCGCTGGGCAGCTCTGTTCTCTCTCCACAGGAAGGAGGCAATGCAAGGAGAGCTGGAGGAACCGTGCATAGGCCTGTGTGTCACCCTCCACCAGCAAAGCGTGCGACTCAGAGCACACCTACCCTACTGACCTTCCGGGGGCACACGGCTAAGAAATCATACTCAAAGGTACGCGGTTCCCATCTGCCGGCTGCTCCGCCAAGGAAAGGCGGGCCGTCTCCTCACGTGAGATTTCCTGCCTGAGAAAACCCACTGGGGGCTCAGCTGTGAGTCAATTCCGACTCTCAGGTCCACCACCAATACCACAAGACAACTACATCCCTTCTAACTTCTCAATCGCATGCAAATGCCTCAGGTGGCCAGCCCTCACTTGGAAACAGAGACACGGGAAATCTGGGAACAGGAGTTTAAAGCCTCAATGAAGTCAGCAGTCCAGCTCACCATCTGGGGCCTGCGCCCACTGTCCTTGTGTGCCAGCCAACCCACACGGACCTCAGCAGGCAAAGGTCAAGTATTTATCTCATTCATTTGAAGACAAACAACTTGGACCTATGCCCACCCACCTTCATCACGTCTACAGAACTACTGCAGGTACTCTCAATCCCTAGGTGTGCTTGCCGGGAACAGGGGCTGAACACACCTCAGAAAAGGCTCGCCCAGCCAGGTAGTGACTGAAGAGGTCCAGGAAGGGCTTCCAGGGACAATAAAGGGCTGAGAGATCTGGGAACTCTGAAACCTTAATAGGCTTGGCTGAAAGCATTTCAGAACTGTCTCAGTGCAAGGAACGCTTCTTCTGTCCTGAAGTCAGGTTCTCAACAGAGAATAGTCTATTACTAAGTCGCCCATCAACGACCATCGGAGAAACCCTTTGCTGGTTATCTCTGAACTGGCCACTGCAGGCTGTTTCTCTGAATCTACACGTGGAGAGGAAGGATATCTGTTTGTAAAGGGCAATGCCCAGTGACTTGGGATCCCAGCGGGTTAAAGCGAAAAGAGATGATGGCAATTATCTGGTTCTGCCTGTACTTTGATGATGGAGGAAATGGGGCTCATAGAGGCAGAGCCAGAACAAGGAGCCTGGCTCCCATTCCTACCTCTCCCACAGTGTCCTGCAAGAAACAGGAGGCCAAAGCCGAGGCTCGTGTGGGCCTGCCCACCAGTTTCTTTCTTCCGGAATCCCTATTTTGAGCTGCTGCTTTTGGACTAGTCAACAGTCTGTCCCATCAAGCTATCCCTGGCCTTATTCTCCCCACCCTCCTGATTTACTGCCCCTCCTGGGTTTATCACTAGAACCGTTCCTGACCTGCTCACAAGCTGCTAAGGGCTCTTCCTGGAATAAAGGACCTGCCTATCTCTGGTCCTCATTCTGTGCCATTCCCATCACAGCCAGAGAACCCCACCAGCGGCGGTGCCAAGCACCCAGACAGCCATGCTGGGGTGTTCTGAAGGGAAAATAAAAGCTTGATTCCCGAGCAGAAATCCTTCAAGTTCAAGTCCCATAGGAACTTTTATTGTTCTATTCAATTTTCCTATTATGACCAATCATCTCAGGACAAGGTCTAAGGATAAGGAATTCACGCTCAATACTCATGAGAAGTCATGTAAGTTCTCCTGTATGCTGTAAAATCTCCAAGTAAAACAAACATGGGAAAAGAAAGATGGAAATCAGCAACCGCAGCTATGAGCTTGTCCAAACTCTTCATTTGTGAAGTTAAACAGGGCACATAACTTGTGAGTAACAGATGAGGACTAACGTTATGGACTCCTGATCCCCCATCCAATGCTGCTGTCACACCCACCACTCACTAGTCGGTGTCTTGCACTGCGTGGTTTGCATGTTGCGGTGACGTTACAAGCTATGTGATGGGTATTTTCAACACTATGTGATGAGTATTTTAAACACTCACAAGGTCACCCGTGGTGGGCAGGTCTCAGCAGAGTGTCCAGACTGAGACAAACGAGGAACAACAACAACAAAAGACCTGGGAGTGGATGTGCAGGATGACTGGCCAATGGAAATCTTAAGGACGGCATCAAGACATTATCTGATATACAATGAGCAGATGAGATCTTAGACTGGGAGAAACTCATTGTTTTTCTGCCTGTTGGTCCACAACATATCGCCTAGTAGTCACGTACGGTCAAAATGGATACTTATCATTGGTGATTTGTACCTCATGCTCAAAAGACAAAAATACCAGCTAGAAAGCAATATTCCAATCTGTTCTACACTACGAAAACTGATGCCCAATTCAACTTGGGCTGTAGAAAGAGCAGCTCCTTTTCCCCAATGGCAGAGAGGCCCCAGGCAGGTGGGGCTGCTGGCTGGTGAAATGAAAGAGCCCAGCCCTTCTGGTACCAGAAGAATCAGAACAATTGCAAAGTGGTTCTGCCAAAGCTGAACTTTATAAAGGGCCTCAGCTATTTCGCCGACTACGTGACGAGATGAAAACGCAGGATTCTAATTTTTTAAAAGCACATCATTGTTTGCATTCAATGAAATTCCTTTCAAAAATCAACTTTCCATGTTCCAATTATATTCAACAACATCCTAGCTAACATTTCGGCTGCAATTCAAATTAACTAATGCCCAAAAGCGCCCTAATAGACTGCGGTTCTGAGCTCAATGGGACACAATCAAAGCTCATGAAATGAAGGGGGGAATGCTTATTTCATGCAAATTCTGCATATCACTCAAGCTTAATTTTACTGATAATATAAAGGTGGGACATTTTGAACATTACAGTGAATGAAACTTTTAAGCGGTGAGAGTTATTTTATAAAATGCTACCTCTGAAAAGCTGATTGCCAAACAGTATAAAAACGGTTTGAGGCATAAATGCCAAGTTCATTTCTATTTCACTTCGGAGGTAACTATCTTTCAAATCGCAACAGCTGGACTATTTAACACAATCTGGTGAATCAAAGTATAGTTCTTCTCTGGTCGCCCAGTGGGACGCCTGCATTAGTCTATGGCAACCATCCAGCAAATGAGGAACAGCCGGACGGTCTGAACTCTGTTTCATTTACAATAAAATGGATAAAGCCGCAATCATATTTACCACCTTCAAGGACAGAAAACAGGAAGATTTAAATTTGTCTTTATAAAGTCGCTGCCTGGGAAAACTCCAAAGAAGAAGTCAGTTTTACATTTTCTCCCGAGTGTGAAAATGCGGCCTTTCCCCTCCCCTCTGGCTCTTTTTTAAACACTTCATACAATGAGGGAGCTGAAGGGGCATTGCAGTACAAGTCGTTTTTATTGTTTCTCTCAGAAAACCTTTTTTTCTCCCCTCAGAGCTTTTTTATACCCTTGCCGCAAACTTCAGCAGAGTTCCAAAGATAAGGTGAAATCCTCTGTATTACTGCCAAGGCTAAGAGTTTTAAATCTAACCACCACAGAACAAGCTGTGTCCCTCCGGCTTTGTGCACCCTCTGGGACTCTAATTTAGCTCAGTCACTGAATTAGTTTGTCAGTTTGGGTTTTGCTTCTCTTGGAGGGGAGAAATAGACACAATTTTTAATTATGAAAAACAACACAGTTAAACAACAGAATACCACCCTGGTTGGACATCGGACACCAGCTTCTTTACTGATGCTGATGTCTTCGAGATTAACGGGAGGAATTCCTTTTTAACCAATGGAACAATGGCCGGGCTCTGTCCACACTCAGCAATATTTTCCCAAATTAAGGAACCGCCACGTAGCACCTAAGCAAATGTGTCAGAACAGTGTTTGCCCTGAAGTCCTCCCCTGAAGCCTTGTCCTGATCCTTTATTCCTCTGCTCTAAGCCAGACTGCAGACATTTACATATTCCAAAAGACACTGACGCAGGAAACTGGACCTTCCTCTCTACAGCAAAAGCAACACTACTGATATGGACGCAGGCGAAGTGTCTGAACCAATGCGTGTGCTGGCTTTTCTATGGCTACTCCACTAGTTTTCTGTAATTCTGCTCAACTTCAAGTCACCATGGAAAATCTGCTGCAATTTCAGCCATTAAAAGCTCAGTGTTATTTAAAAGACCTTATTTTAAGAGGCAGAAAGTC